TACAACTGAGTTTTTGACCTATATCATTTGTATCCTTGCTAAGTAACTTCTGTTAACACTTCTAGTTAGGCAGATCTATTAGCAATAAATTCTCTCAATTTTTGTTTGCTTAAGAAAATCCTTATTTTTTTTATTTTTGGAGGGAAATTTCACACAAAAAAAGAATTTTAGATTTGTATGTCTCAACATGTTAAAAATATTTTACCCTACTCTCTTTTTGCTAGCATGGTTTCTGAAGAGTAGTCAGATGTAAATTTTATCTATAAGTGAATCATTTCCCTTCCCTGCCCCTCACTTTTTTCTGGACTTTTCTCTTTGTCTTTGATTTTTTTGGTACTTTGAATCTAATACATGCAATCATAACTTACTTGCTTCTTCCTTTCCTCTTTTTCCTTTAATTTTTATTTTCTCTTATGTTTATCCTTGGGATTCGCTGAATTTTCTGGATCTGTACTTTTGTTTCTGACATTAATTTGGAGAAATTCTCAGTCATTACTGTTTCAAATTTATCTCTGTTCATTTCTCTTATTTTAATCCTTTGGTATTTTTATTATGTGTGAGTTATGCCTTTTGTATTATCCCACAATTCTTCAATATTCTCATTTTTTGAAGATTTTATTTCTTTTTGTATTTTAGTCTTCCTTCTTTCCTTCCTTCCTTCCTTCCTTCCTTCCTTCCTTCCTTCCTTCCTTCCTTCCTTCCTTCCTTCCTTCCTTCCTGTTGAGGACCAAACTCAAGACTTTGCATGTGCCAGGCAAGTACTCTACCACTGAGCTAAATCCCCAACCCCTGAATTTTGATTTTCAAGTTTTAGTTTAGAATCCTCAGGTTATGATTTTTTATTTAATTGTATTCCATCTACTGATAAACCTATAAAAGTCATTCTTTTTTATGCTACAATTTTTGATCTCTAGCATTTCTTTTAAATTCTTTATTGGAATTTCCAATGCTCTATGTACATTGCCCATGTGTTCTTGAATGTGTTCCACTCTATCCATTAGTACCATACTAACCATAGTTTTTAAAATTTCCAGATTGATAATTCCAATTTTCATGCTATATCTGAGTCTGGGTTGGATGCTTTCTCTGTGTATTCAAACAGTATTATTTGCCTTCTAGTATGCCTTGTAATATTTTTCTTAATAGGCAGATAGGATGTTCTGGGTAAAAAGGAAAAAAAAAGAAAACAGTTATTAAGAGACTTTTAGTAATGTGATGGTAAGGGGTCAAGAAAGTGGAAGCATTACATATAGTTTTAGTTTGCAGCAAATTAATGGACTAATTGTTGTCTGGATATTTGATTTTTTTATGGTTTTCTTTTTCTGAAATTTTTTGTTTGTTCTACTTAGTTGTATATGACAGTAGAATGCATTTTAATTCATTGTACACAAATAGAGTGAAAAGTTTCAAGTCTCAGGTTGTACACTGCATAGAGATGCACCATTTGTGCAATCATACATGTACCCAGGGTAATGATGTGCATCCCATTCTACCATCTTTCCTATCCTCATAACCCCTCCTCACCTTCCCCTTTGCCCAATCCAAAGTTCCTCCATTCTTCCCATCCTCCTACCCATAGATCAACATCCACTAATCAGAGAAAACATTTAGCCTTTAGTTTTTGGGAATTGGCTTACTTCACTTAGCATAATCTCCTTCAACTTCATCCATTTACGGCAAATGCCACACTTTTATTCTCTTTTAATGCCGAATAATATTCCATTGTGTATATACCTTTTATTTCAATGATATTAATCTATTTGGCAGTCCCATGAGACAAATCACAACCTCAACCTGCAGCAGCACTAGCCTTCTAGGTGAAGACTTTGATATTCTGAATATGATTTTGGGGTTCCAAAAAGTTTGGATTCCCAAAGCTCTCTATGATCACCATAGTACCTTCACACTGCATTCTAATTACTCGGTATTTCACTTATGAACTTCATTCATACAAGAACATAATTTTTAAATTTCTGCTGTGTATCATTTTCTGGATTATGTACAGAAAACATGGCACTACAGCACTCATTAAAATAAATATAATTCTTGCCCTTGGAGAGTGTGTTTCCTTGATCCCTGTCCCGACTGTGACTTTACCATTAGCCATGTGAGAGCAAGTGCTTCTCCCTCTTCTTTCAGTGTGCTGTACGTGCCCAGATGTTTTTGACACTCAAAAGAGGTTTCTTGATTAAGTGAATAAATGATTGTTATCAAACTATAATTTAATTTACTTTATTCAATGAAATATGGGGATAGTCAGTAAAAGAAATGCAATAGGTCTTTTTATATCTTTAGATCCCATGCAATTTAAAAGTGTTTTAAAATGGGATGTACATGGTTTACCTAGTGTTTCACACTGAGTTGTGCCATTGTTCTTATATAAGTCTGTGATAGCAAAGGTCAAAGATTTTCTGGGGAGTAGTGTAATCACATTTCATTGAATCTTATGTGTTCCATGAAGCTTTTAGAATCTTCTGCTCAGTTTTCAAATGTTGCATAGAAGCCAGGTACAGTGACGCATGCCTGTAATCCCAGTGGCTCAGGAGTTCAAAGCCAGCCTCAGCAAAAGCAAGGCTAAGTAACTCGGTGAGACCCTGCCTCTAAATAAAATACAAAAAGGGCTGGGGCTGTGGCTCAGAGGTTGAGTACCTCTGAGTTCAATCCACAGTATAATAAATAAATAAATAAATAAATAATGCATAAATAGGATCTCAGACTGCCCTTACTTTTGCCTGCTAGGCCTTTGTAATTCTATATATGTAGCTAATAAAGTAGTTAGAATTAGATTTGGTCCCATTTGTATTGTATCCTATGTCTGTACTGAATGGTCTGAAAAGGAGATGGTAGTCTTGCTTTAAAAAGGGAAGTACCTGTGTGACTTCTTTTTCATGAGTAAGATTTGTGATTATCTTCCAACTCCTTGTCTTATTTCATCTTGAGATTTCTATTCCTTTGCTACCTAGGCAGTACCATCTCTTTTTCCAACACCTAGCTTATCATTTATTATCATTTTCTCTTCTAATATGTTTTTAGAAAAGCACTATTTTTTTTTGTCATTTTCATCCCATTGCATACACTACTGGACACTTCCTTTGTACTTCAATTATTTTAGTCATTGTAGGGCTTAGGAAGGCAAGTTATGTATTGCAGTTCTACCCCACCAGGTGAGTAATAATAGTGGACACATCATTTAACCTTTCTAAGTCTCAATGGGTATACTAATAAGCCCTATCTCCTAATTTTATAAAAAAAGATTAAATAAAATAATACATGTAAATTGCTAAACACAGTACATAGTGTATATTGTTTATTTTTGTTGTTTCTATAATTTATATTAACACTGCCTAATAGATTGTAAACTCCTTAAACCCTGATATCATCTCACAATTTTTCTTGTACTCCCTCATAGTACAGGAGAGTATGCACTCCAACAAATGCTTTTAGAGTCAATGATTCAAGAGCGAAAAATGAATTAGCTAATGAATGCTGTAAATTTTGATTAAACATGCTTTTCTTACAAATTAAAGATATTTCCCATTTGTCAGTATACAATGTTCTTGAGCATTCAGTTACATAATGTAAAGATCATTCAGATTCATGAAACTGAAAATGCTATCTATAATGTATATTTTGTAAATGTATACAGATTAAGATGGATTAACTTAAAACTGTAGGATAATCTAAATAGCTACCCTTAAAAAATTACCATTGGCATTTTAATGAAATGTTATTTTACAACTTTAAAGCTCATAGCAATATAATTAGTAATATGTGTAATCTTTATTACCAATCTTAATCTTTTTTATATGACTGAAAAATTATTTTATGGTAGTACAATTAAAATAATGCTAAAAATGTCAGCATAACAGAATTAAACTAAAGTAACTACGACAATATTGTACCCCAAACCAGCTAATTTAAATGCAAAATACTTTGTAAAGGCTATTTATCTGGGCTAATGCATGTTAAGGGATTTAAGAAGTAGTTTGTATAACTGAAATAAAAAGAAAAAAATAAGCACTGTACAGCAATCTTTACTATTGTTTAACATGAGGGAAATATTAAATAGGTTTATATATAGGCCACTTGAGGAAAATATATTAGAAGCCATATCACTACATAGTAAATATAAAGGCAACTGTTAAGCAAGGCTGCATTCATAGGCTTTTAAAGGGAAAGCTTGAGATGCTTAAAATTGTCCTTTTACTACTGATGGTACATTAATTATGACAACTAGACTGAAGATGCCCAGAATTTTACTGGTATGTTCTGTAGAAGGGATTTCATAAATACATAGCATTTGATGATTAGTGCATTACAATGGTTAGATTTTTTTTCCTGAATCTGTTTATATGTCAATTCATAAGAATGACTCTGCCAATTCATTGTTACTATGGGTTAGAATACAGAAAGGTTAAAAATAATAATTGTACAAAATAAAACTAGGCTTAGTGTGCAAACTTTAGAGGCAAAAAGTAGCAAAATTCACCTAGATTTTTACCATCCACCGAGTATCACGTTTGATACTTGGTACTTGAATTTATAGTTTCTCTTACCTGATAAATAATTTTTAAATTTTCTTAATTAAAATGTTTTATTATATTCCATAGAATATTTATGTGTAATTAAAGGAAGACCAGGAATGTATATTATATATAAATCATGTATAATAGTGGATCAGATAGAGTTTTCTTGAATCATTTTAGGCCTTCTTCTTTTAGCTCTTCAAACATAATTGTTGCTTTTATATTTGTTCCTAATTGTTATAGTCATTTCTATTAAAAGACTGGTGAACATTGAAGGTATTTTAGTATAGCTTAAAAACTTATGGTTCTTAAAAACCATAATCCATTCAAATTGTATGTAACAGAATCATAGATCATGGATCTGAGAGAAACTAGATGTTGTAGTATTTATTGTTAGAATTCCACTACTGGAAGGAGGATTCTGATTTACCAGATGATGCACCACATGGTATTTGTTTGGTTTTGATTCTGTAGGTCCAAGCACACCTGGAAAGTCCTGCAAGACCTCAACTACAGCGATCCCCAAAACAGCAAGTAAAACCCTTCATGACCCTTGACCACCAAATCGTCCACCAAACTCTCAAACAGTCACACCCTCCAGGGCCAAGCTGTGTGCTTCTGCCACAACATGGACTTAGGAGTCCGGACAGTGATGCTGGCCTCCCAGGAAACCCACTCACCAAGTCACTAGCTCTTGGGAAAGAAGATGGCAGTGAGGAATGGCATGTATGTCTAATGGCTGGTTGTGAAAACTGTGTCACCAGTGTTTTGAGAAAAACACTTAAAGGAATTGCAATCAACATGTTTATAGTAAACATTCCAAATGCAAATTAACTTAACATAAGTAATGCTCTAATTAATCTGTAATCATGCATTATATATATATTAGTTATTGTGCATAGTTAATTGCAATGATTCATTTTAAATATTTCAATTAGATACTAACAAGAGTCAAAATAGGTCCTAAGAGTAACATATGTTTATAATATTTAACTGTTAATTTTATAGATTTCCTGAGTAACTTCAGTTGAAATATTGTCAAAAGTTATATTATCTTAAGTAACCACTAATATAAAACAGGTGCAATTTATTTAAATAACAGTAAATTTGTGCTTTAAAAATATTCACTAGAATAAAATTAAAAATCCTATTGTACTTACTATTTCATGAAATTGCATCTGGATTTAGTTTTACTTTTTTTTCAGTATATTAATGTCTATTTTTAAACATAATTGTCCACCACTTGCTAAATAATAGGAATTTAGTGGGGCTGAGGATAGAACATTCATAAGGTTTTATGGAGTTTATGTTTATTGTGACTTGCTTTTAAATGAATCTTCAAAAATAACCTCTTAAGGATGAATGGAAATAGGACACAACTAGAACTTGAAAAAGCACTTTAGTATCTCAATGTAGATAAACTACAATAACTGAGCTCTTTTTTCTTTTTCTTTGTCCCCCTTTGATTTGTTAGATGGAGCCATGTTCCTATGATCTCCCAGGATTAATATCCCAATCTAAATTCCTGGTGATTACTGCTGATTTCAGGATGATACTTTTCAGCTATTAAGTCTATGGCCTCCAAGCACAAAAGAGCAGTTCTCAGAAATTCCATTATTTGAATCCAAATTATAAAGGAAGTTTTTTTAGACAAATTTTATATCAATCTGAAAAAGAGAAAATAAAGATGTGGTAGGTGGTTTAATGATATATGAAACAACCACATATTAGGACACTGTAAAATTCAAAATGTAATGTAAATCTCTCCACATGTTTTTACTTGAAACTTTTTTGATAGTGGACACATAAAGAACTTTCCAAAAATACAATGTAGAATCAGGTTGTCTATTCACTCTGCAGAGATCATTAAAATATGTGTTGGATGACAATCATCATTTCTACATTATTTGTTAGAACTACACCAATACAATTTATCTTACAACTACCTTTTACAAAGTTTATTTTCTTGTGTGGAAGATGGATTTTTAAAGGAAAACAACATTTCCCAAGTACATGAATATACCAGTCATATGTAGGCAAAACCCAGAAAATGTTCATGTATCTTATAAATCATGCCTTTTAAATTTAGATGGATAAGCAATATATATGTCTCCAGAGATTTTCTTAACTTTTTTTTTTTTTTTTTTTGGTATTGGGGATTAAACTCAGGGGCGCTTAACCACTCAGCTACATCTCCAGTCCCTTTTAAAAGTATTTTATTAGAGACAGGGTCTCACTAAGTTGCTCAGGCTTGCTTCTGCCTCAGCCTCCTGAGCCAGTGGAATTACTCCTAGCATGTTTTTCATTCCTTAGATACACATCTTACTTTTGTCTTTATGATAAGTTTGTACATACACAGGAATTTTGTCTTTATTGGTCCTTTAGGTGTTTCCTGGGAAGGGTTGAAAATCCTAAGAAAGGAATTCATTTGCTTAGGGACAATGTGAACAATGGCTGCAAAGAAAGTTTTCTATTTTTTAAACAATTGTACTTTAAACTGTTTATACAGAAGTGCATTATAGCCATCATTAATATTAATTTAATCATAGTTTTATTTGTTTTTTAATCATTTTAATCAGTATATGATCTCTTTAGCTTATCATGTACATATAGTCCCCCCTCCCCCGCACAACCATCCACAGACCTACTATCTTTAATAGGAGGAACCCTGTGCTGTTGCAATTTCCTAATATCCTTTGATTGGTGCTAGAAGTCCATGCCTAATAGCAGAAAGTCTCTTTGCACAGAAATTTTAGTAGAGAACCACAACCTATTAGTTGTGGGGCCTCAGCCCTCAACCTTTCTCACCCACATTTCCAAACCTTGAAGAGTTATTGATGTTAATGTTTTAAGAGTTGCAAACACAAAACTCAGAGTGGGAGCTGTTACCACACTTTGGTGTTTTTTCTAAGCATTGTCCTCCTATGACACCAAGGAAGATTTCTTTAATTCAAAGAAGACTTCAGAAATCATAGGTACCACAAGGCAAGTCAGTGAAAAAGCATCCTTGGATTCAGGATATAGTGATTGAAATTAGTAATAACTTGGTTATTGAAAGTCTCAGAGACATAACATCAACAGAATGATTTTATAAGCACATGTCTTTCCAGGATACAATTTAAATTTGTACAGAGAACACATAGAGAATCTTCTACACTGGACCCTTACACCTGGCATGGAGTTGTCAGTCAGCATCCCATGGGGCTCTGCCCTTCAGCAATATGAGATCCCTAGTGGTTCTCATGGTGGTTCTCCTTCTCCTATCTTTCTTTCCCCCCTTTTTAATTCAATTTCTACCTGTTGTCTGAATAATCCCACTCACCCTGAAAATGGATTTCAAGTTTCTTCTCTAAGATGCTTTCCTTGGTGATTCTCTGTCTGGATTTGGTGCCTATTCTCTGAGTTTTTATGGCAATGTTTATATCACATGGGATATAAAACTGCACTCCTTATACTGTTTTCATAGCACATCTTCCTTTTTTAAATATTCACTTAATTTTTCTTATTCTCCAGTTCATTAATTGTTTGATGAAAATGGCTTGTCTTATTCATATTCACATACCTAGCTCCTAAGATGACTTTCTGCAAAATTCTAGTACAGGTTTTGGGCAAAATTATGAGTCAATGAATAATTCAGTCATCCAGCCCTTGGTATTCATGGGTTCTGCCATTCATATAGAGTTTGAGCTCCATGAGAGCAGAAACTTTATAGTCATGACCGTTGTGTTTCCAGTTCTCACAATGAAACCTCACAGTGAGCATCATTTAATAAGTATTTGTTAAATTAATGTATGAATAGTGATCTGATTTATTGCAAAATTATCTGAAAGTAATTTATTGCAAAATTATCTCAACATTTGATTTAAATTTACCAAAATCTTGCTTAGAAGATAACATTGATGGAATCTTAAGATATTTTTTCAAATTTAGTGGAGTTTACTCCTGGTTGTTTCTGCACAAAGATTAGCAATACTACATTCATATAAATCATCCTTCACAGGATTTTTGAGTTTAAAACATATTTTAACATTTTATTGAAGAGAATATAATTGGATAAAAAATATCTAGAGCAATAACAGGGAAAGAGACAGAATGAGAGAGAGAGGGATAAGCATTTTCTTTTAAAAAATATAAACTTTTAAGATATTCTTTAGCTTAAGTCTTCTTTGCAGTAGTAGGAAGATTATTTTAGAAAGGAGCTGAGGATGAGAATAGAAAGTTGACTAAAGTTACAACTATTGAGCCAGTGTTAGGAGTCCAATCCTGCCTCTGCCACTCACTAACTATGTGACTTGGGATGAGGTATTGATCATCTATCAGTTTCCTCATCTGTTTAATTCAGATAATAATAGTACCTACCTTGTGGGCTGTTGTGACAATTAAATGACCCAATGTATGCAAAGCACTTAAAAGGGTGCCTGGAACATTTCATGTACTATGTAGGTATTTTATATTGTTACTGTTTAATGAATAGTTTTATTGTTTATTGCTATTATTATTATTATTATTATTATTATTATTATTCAGAGAAGGTGGGATAATATGTCTCCACATATTCTGTATCCATGTCTTCTAGCCAGTTAAAAATTGACCATTGACATTTGGACATCTATCTGTCAGAGAAAATCAAAACATTTTTTATATGAAATCATCTCTCTATATGTTAAATTTGTGGGCTCTGGGATGAAATACTTCATGTAAAATATTATTTTTATCACTACTGATTTCCAAGGGAGTATCTTTCTCCATTGTCACCTGAGAATTCATGGAAGCAAATGGACCAGAGTGTCAGGGTGACCTCATTTTCAGTCCTAAAATATTCTGAGTTTTTACATACATATAACCTCAATTTAAACATACTAAAACAACTTAAAATTTACTAGAATTATTCTCTGTAACTTCAAATTGAAGCTCCACTTTTATCATTATGCACATTATTTTAAGCATATTATATTTTGCTAGATGGAAAACATTTTGAGAATATACTGGGTATGGAATCAAGTTTTAAAGAGGAAAGAACAGACTTTCCTTTGCTAACACACACACACACACACACACACACACACACACACACACAATGTTTCCAAACCAAATGAAGGCAATGAGACTGAAATGCTGAAATAAATAATTTGATGATTTTAAAAAAAGAAATTTAATTTGATTACCAAAAGGTGTTTTCTTTTGCACTTTCAAAACAGAGATAACAGAAAAAATAGTAATGAGCATTTGTTGGTGCAGACCAAAGCTTATATCATGTCACTGAGAATATTATAGAGTTTATTCTAGTATTTCTTTCTGTCTGTACCTCTGTCTGTCTCTTGGGGTATTTGATCTCTACATACATGCATGTAATTATATAGTTAATCCATGACAACATTTTCTATGATTTAATCTTTATATTTTCTATTTGAGCTCAGCATGTAATCTAACATCTTCATGTGGTCATGATTCAGTTTTGACTATTTTACCATGACTAATAGCTATGAGATTTAGAGGCTCAGCACCTTTGTATAGGACAGAAAAAGAGCACAACAGAAGAACATATAAATTTATTTCATAGTCAATAACTGGAGCTTAAAGATAAACTTAAAAAAAAAAGAAAGACATAACAGGCCTCACCCTACTTTAAAGTATGTGGCAAACTTCTGTGTTGAAATCAGTCCAAATTCCTAGAATAATATTCCATTAAGGCATGGTATCTTATCTCCTATTCAACTGCTATTGCT